AAAAAAAAAAAAAAAAGGCAAAGGCTATAAGCTGCTTAATTTACAGATGAAATCTTACTGGATAAATAATAAATGTGCAGATGTCATCTTTATATTCTCGATATTAAACGAATTCAGTAAGATAGGCTTGAGCATATGCATCTAAGCAAATATTCACTTGGGACAAGTGTCTGTAAGGGAGGAAACAGGAACCATCACCTGCTCAGAGGGAGTAAACTGCATAACTATTGTGGGACCAAATGTTTCATGAAGTAGAAGGCACATGCTCCATTCTACACACAAACCCTGCAGATACTGTCAGACACTCACACAGAAGAAACATACACCACATTTCCTGTGAACTGCTTGAGGTACTAAAGTCAAGATCATCCTCAGTGGTCAATAAGAGACTTAATTAACTGTGGAATTAAATATACAGTATATGACTACAGACTTCCATACACCCCACGTGTCCCACCCAGCTGCATGCTCACCACGCATGAATCAACATGCTAAATGTGAAAACAATGCGGAGCAAGAAAAGTAAAATGCAAAGGAATATGTATTATGCTCCTCTTTGGGGTTTATTTTCCCCCTTGATTGTAGTATCATTGGTTTGATTGTTTATTTTGCAAACATAAAGCCGTATCCATCGTAAATCACGAAGGGTCAGGATGAAACAAACACGACAGTGATTTAGAAGGCGATGCCAGAAGGAAGCCTTACAATGGGTCACCTTTCCTTATTTAAAAAAAAGCTGGTGTGCAATCCCACTCCTAGTTATCTACCCAAAAGACACAAAAACACTGATTCTGGTTCAAAAAGATACCTGCACCCCCATGTTTATTGCTGCCTTATATACAATTGGAAAGGCGTGGAAACAGCCCAAATGCCCAAAAGTGGATGACTGGATTAAAAAGTTGTGGTACATATATATACACAATGGAATATTACTCAGCTGTGATACATATATATATATATATATATATATATATATATACAATGGAATATTACTCAGCCACCAAAAAAATAAATAAATAAACACATGCCTTTTGCAGCAACATGGATGGAGCTGGAGAAGATGATGCTTAGTGAGATAAGCCAGAAAGAAAAGGAAAAATACCAGGTGGTTTCACTCATAGCAGGAGTATAACAGACCAGGTGAGAAAATAGTAATAATAATGAACAGCTATATACCAGTGACATTTTACGGGGGTGGAGTGGGGAATGGGATCAAAAACAGTGGGGGGAGGGAAATGCACTGGACTATGGTGATGAAACAGGGTGATTTGGTGATAGGAAGCCCATGGGAATTATAACTGAGACAGAAAAACGCACAAAACAATGTAAAAATAAACTTATATATATATAGAGAGAGAGAGAGAGATGTATATGTGTGTGTATATATATATATATATATATATAAAACAAGTTGGTGTAAGGGGAAACATATTAATATTGGATTTAGGTAGTGGTTTGAGCATTCATGGTTGCAAATATCAGGATCGGCTCTTCCCAGTATGAGCCAACAACAAGCCCCCTGTCCCAGGCTCAGTAGTCAGACTGGTATCAGACGTCACATTAATATTGGAGGACAGACTATAATTATTTCAAAGTCAATAAGAAAGCATTTTTCAATTTAGAATTCTGTGTCCAGCCAAACAGTTGATAAAAGCTAACTTGTAAAATAAAGTTACCTTAGACAAACCACAGCTCTACTCTCTGACACTTTCTCTTAGCATGGAGCACGCTAGTCTCCAGCACAATGAGGTTAATCAGGGAACAGGTGGATGTTGACTCTAGGGAAAAGTGGATTCCACCCAGAGAAGAAATAAGTTCTTTAGATGAAATCTGTGCATCATACACAAAAAAAAAAAGCAGATCCCAGACTACAATGGGGAAAAAAAATGTGTATTTTTAAACTATATATTCAGAAGAAAACAAGGAAATCCTCTAAAACATGGAAACCGCTCTCAAGGAACTTGAGAAAGAAGAACAAAAAAATGTCAATAGGCTCACTAAGAAAACAAGGGAGAAAATTCAAATAAATGGGATCAAAAATGAAGGAAAAGAAATTACAACAAACTCTGAAGAAATTCAGAGGATAACTACAACATTTAAATACAAACAAGTTTGAACCTAGACAAGATGGACAGATTCTTGGAATTATACAATCTTGCATGACTGAATAGGGAAGAAATGGAAAACCTAAGCAAGCCAATCACAAGCAAGGAAATTAAAACAGTAATCAAAAATTAAGAATGTCAGCTCATTTATAATCTCACAGAAAAAAATCAGGTATCTGGGAATAAACAAAGGAAGTGAAGGACCTAAACAAAGAAAACTATAAACCATTGTGAAAAGAAATCGAAGATGACATAAAGAGATGGAATATTAAGATGTACAGAATATTACTGAAATTCATAGAGAGTCACCAAAGACATGAACAGTCACAGATCTCTTGTCAAAAAAGGGGGGAAATAAGAGTATTATACGTCCAGAGTTCAAACTATACTATCAGGTCATAATATCTACAACCAGCTTGATTCTGGAACAAAAACAGACACATAAACCAAGGGACTAGAATTGAGAGCCCAGAAATAAAAGCACATATTGATGCACAATTAACCTATGACAAAGGAGTGAAATAAACAAGGAAAACCTTTTCGATAAATGGTGTTGGGAAAACTGTACAGCCACATGCAAAAGAATGAAAGTAGATCTTTACCTCATACCATCCATAAAAACCAACTCACAATGGATAAAGACATGAAAGTGAGTCCTGAAATCATAAAACATTTAGAAGAAAACACAGGTAAAATACTCTATGGCATAAAGTCCAGAAAGATCTCTGAGGACTCATCCCCAGCAGCAAGGAAAACAAAGACTATAAACAACTGGGAGACTAAACTAAAAACCTTCAGTACAGCAAAAGAGATAGTAAACAAAGAGACACTCTACCACTCTACTAAATGCGAGGCAATTTTTGTACACCATACATCTGCCAAGGGGCTGATTATCAAAGATCTACAATTCAATAGAAAAAAATGGGCAGAAGAACTAAATAGGAACTTCTCCAAAGAAGATATGCAGATGGTCTACAGACGTATGAAAAAAGGTTCATCACATCATCAGGAAAACGCACATCAAAACCACAATGCGATACTACCACACACCTACCAGGAGGGCCCATATTAAAAAATTGAAAAGCAACAAGAACTGGTAAGGATACAGAGAAAAAGGAACCATCTTACACTTCCAGCGGGAATGTAACTTGGCCCAGCTACCATGGAAAGCAAAACACTAAAATGCGTCTGACAATTATGACTCAACAATTCGAATCCTAGGAATCTACCCAAACAACCCAAAAACAGTAATTTGAAAGAAAACCTGCACATGTATGTTTATTGCAGCCTTATTTACAATAGCCAAGATAGAGATAACAGCCCAAATGCCCCACAAGAGATGAAAGGATCAAGCTGTGGTATATATACACAATGGAATCAAGTAATCAAAACACATAAGCTCATGCCCTTTGCAGCAACTAGAATGGGACTGGAAGGGATTATGCTAAGAGAAGTAAGTCAGAAGGAAAAGGATAAATACCAGATGGTTTCACATATACTCGGAAGATAGAGAAACCAAACAAAGACAAACCGTGACAGCTGACCATAGCCCAGGCCCGGGAGGGGTGGGGAGGGGGCTGCAAACGAGGGGGTGGGGGGTGAAAACACAATGGACGAGGACTGAGGCTACTAGCAGTGGAGGGAGATGGATGGGAGCAAAGGGGCGAGGGGATCCAGTGGAGGGTGACTGGGCCTGGATGATCGGTGAGGTGAAATGACACATTTGCAGAAGTATCAACACAAACCCTTAAGATACAGAATGTTGTAAACTAACATTACCTCAGTAAATACATAACTTAAAAAGAAGAACTTTTTAAGATTCAAGAATATATGAAAACCTCAAATGTAAACATTACACTTTAAATAACTGCTTTGAGATATAATCACTTTCATTAGTTATTATGTTGGTTTGAATAAGTTTATATAATCGTATAAAAACTGGGACCCTTAAGGAGCACAAAGCACCTACGCATGACAGCTATTGCAAATGACGAGATCTCATTTTTATTTCAGCATTCTCCTGAAAGTTGATTAAGCACTTTTATATGGACCAGGTCATTAAAACTTGGCTTCTATCTGGGAAAAAAAAAAACAAAAAACGTATAATCAAGACTTGCCTAAGCTTGGGAAAGAGACTCTCAGCCACTGCTGTTAAGACCGTCATTTGGCAAAACTTTCTGAAGGCTGGGATCTGGTAGCATGTGTCAGTAATCCGCCTTCAGAAATCGATAGCTCTCAGCAGTCATAAGCAGTGTGCAGTGCTACTCAAGAGTGTGAGTGAAGCCATGTGGGTCCAATTCCAACCTTGCTCCTAACAGCCTGTGCTCTGCTCCCTCACTTACAAAGTGGGAACACCTTCTTCTCAACCAGTTGTTAGGAGGACCCCTACGAGGCTCCCTGTGAACGGCTGGGGCAAGGGCAGGACTCAGCGAGCGAGCAGATGCCAGTCAACACGTCCACGCGGCACTGCCATCTTGCACAGGGATGCTTCCAACAGTGAGAAACAGAAACAACTAGCGCAGGCCTCTCTTGATGGAGAAGATTAGCTTTGTACCTGAACATGTTTATATATGTGGGTAAAAGGACTGAAAGGCAACACGCGCCAACACATCACATCCAGGAACCGGAAGACGTGATGTTTCTGTGTAAAATTGTGAACCTACACATTGTTTTATCCTTTAGAGTAAGGGAAAGGTAATTAAACACCAATTTAAACTGTAGGGAGGAAAATATAGTGAACTTTTATACGCACACATGAACATTACATAGAAGACTTTTATTTCCATTTACTGTACATATGTAAACATTAGGGTCGCTAGGCAACTAGGTGGACGCACTTTCCTCTGTCACCTTAGTCTGATCTTCAGACACCTGTGAAAACATGAAGAGCTTTATACTTCTAATAAACACTTAGTTTTACCCTTTACCCTAAATTTAAAATTATTCCAGATTCGCTTAAATGACCCTCCTTATTCTCCCTCATCAGTAATTATCAAGAGCTAAGAAGAAAGAAAACTTAACAAAGCTGGTTCCCAATGTAATTACCAAGTATAGCATTTCCATTAAAAAATGCAGCCTGAAATACCTGCAAAGCTCCTCAAAATTTGTATTTTTCACCACAAAATGATGACTTTAGGATAAGAAAAACACCAGCAGTGCTGCGCTACATTAATTCTATTTTGTTGGGGACACGATTCTGTTTTGCACAAAGCATATACATATTAATAGAAATAGATGGCTGTACATATCTGACATTATTCTACTCTATTCACTCAGAGGCCTCAAACATACAGGCCCAAATTCACAGTCATCATCACCCCAAACCCTGCCCAACCCCTTCTTCCCCCTTTTAGCATAGGCCTCTCTCCAGCTACCCAAATCAGCACTAGGGTGTCCAGGTTCAAGTCCCAGCTCGCCCCCACACTGCCCCCAGCAGGGGCCTACCAGCAGCAATGGCTGACCAGTAGGTCACTTACTTGTTCAAATTCGCTGTTACCCCATCACCTTCTGAAGGGGATGCAAATTCCACTTGAAAGACAAGCTCCCTGAGTCCTCCGTACACTTCTTTGGACCCATCTAACGCCATCGCACACCCCCACTCCTCCCACCTTCTCACGCGCTCCATCCTTTCACACCTCTCGGCAAGGAGCTGCCTCCAAGACAACCCCCAACCTATCCTCTAGCAAATTCTTTTTCTGGCCTGCTTTTCTTCATCCCTAAGGTCAGTTTAGGAAGCTGATTCCTGGGCACCTCTCTTAACCAACCCCTTAAAGATCTGGGTTACTTTTCTTCTGCATACAACCCCCCCCAACATGTCCAGCTGACTTGTCTGCCTCTACTTAATTTATTTTAATAAAGAAATATGTATAGCTATATAAAATATTTATATATAATATACATATTTATATGTGTAATACATTCTCATACATATAATTTATATATTCATGTATGATATATATTTCACATTATACATATATTTATATAAATATTCTAGTTATTTATTTTATTCACTTAAAATGTACTTTTAACCCAATGAATCTTTGCACATTTTCATAGGAAAAACTCAAGAAAAGTGAAATTAATGACACAAGAGGCTTCTATTCTTAATCTAATATACCAATTACAGCCCCAACACATAAATTTATAGAAAAGACGACCATTAGGAAAACCTAACTCAATGCTATCACAATCATTAAGAAGAACTTCTTTATCACTACTATTTAGTAGGGTTCTTATTCGCCTTCAAATTCTAGTGTACTGTTTCTATGTCAATAACGAAACCAAGAGAATTGCTAAATTACAACTTTTCTCTTGCCAAAATACTACCAAGTCAACAACCAAACACACTCAGGCTATTGAGACAACTAATTACTTTTCTTGTTATTGTTTCTCTTTTGTTTGCTGCTGTTGTTTAATCACACACACACAAAAAACTCTTCATAGAAGAGTAATATTAGCTGCCAAAAACACTCACCAGTTTCCGAGATCTTTCCAGTAGCTTATTCCATATTGTATAATGTGCCTTGAAAGGAAAAGATTTACTTTGAATTAAATTAAGCAGTAAGTTAAAATAAACATGGCTGAGTCTATAGGTTTTGAACAAAATAAATAAATCAAATGTTAGCTAGTGTAATGAGGCTTACCCAAGTGCTTACAAGGGGATTCAAGTGGGGGGAGGGGAGGTACTACATGGAACAGTGACTTTGGCTTTGAAGAAAAAAGACCTAAGTACTCACTGTGCCATTCCTCGCTGTCTACCTTCACCACTGCCATCAGGGGAAGCATTTGCACTAACGGAAGTGACTGTCTTCCCCACTTTCTGGCAGCTGGAAAGTTTTTCCTTTAGCACTGAATTTCAACATTCTAGAGGTCATTCTTTGTATCACACGCAATCACAAAGAGAAGGTCATGAAGAACTGTGACATTTTCACACTGAAGTGGGAGGCCTAGAGCACTTAGCAAATTACGCTAAAGAACAATAAAAACTAATGAGGATAACAGTAAAATTATATAAGCACACTGCTGGTGGGAATGTAAATTGGTACAATTCGTTTCATGGTTTCTTAAAAATGTAAACATATACCTATCATACACAGGCCCAGATACTGATCACAGAGAAACGTATCTATAAAAATCTGTTCACAAATGCTCAAAGCAGTACAGTATCCACAACAGCCAAAAACTAGAACCAACCCAAACACCCACTAGCAAGTGAGCAAGTGGAAGCCCGTCCACACCAAGGAATAAAGAATATTACTGAGCAATAAAGAGGTACGAATTATTGATACGTGCCACAAGTTGGATGAGGTTCCACAGAATTATGCTGCATGGAAAAAAACCAATCCCAAAAGATTAGCAGCTGCAGGGTGAGAGGTGGGGACAGGGTGAGGGAGTGAGTGTGAGTGCGGAGTGAGGCCGCCTTGTGACATCACAAGGAGTCTCTGTGTCTTGTCCACACTCGGGCTGTGATGTGGTACTACAGTTTTATAAAATGTTCCAGCGGGGAAACTGGATGAAGGTGTTTAGGACAGGAGCTCTTCTTTTTCAAAACTGCATGTGAATCTATAATCAACTCAAAATCAAAAGTTTAATTGGCAAAAAAAAAAAATTTAACAAGGGGAGGAAGACTTTGGGTCATGAGCAGATCATTAAGCTTTAGAAAGATGCCCAAAAGGCATTCTAGAAGATCTCACTGACACATTCCAAAACTTACCTTTAAATAACTTCAACAACCAAAAATAGTATCTCAACTTGATTTACTGATGCTTATTTTGTAAATTATCTGTTCATAACCTGAGCAAAAATTTTTTTTATCTTAAACCCAAGCTTATAAAGTATTAGTGTCATACAACTTAACGAAAATTAAAACATAGGTCCTTCAAATTGGTGTAAAATCAAAATCAGAATCACACCCACACCCAAACTGGATGAGCTGCACCTTTAAGGTTCACTTACTTTTAAGTGAACAGGCAAGGAGAGACCCTGGAATCTTCGTACAAGACTTGGCTGGGCAGTCTGAAGATTGTGAGCTGCTGATACTTCGTACTGGTGACAAATACTTGTTCTTGGAATAAGAGGGCCTTCACTCACATCGATGAAGTCACCAAATCTGGGTGGATTTTTAAAACAAAGAAATAAAACCTCAAAGTCAAAACATGGACTGTAGATGGTGAAAAGAATCACCTCATTCTCTTGGCTGCTACATCCCTAACCAAGCTCTAGTCTCTCATGTCCCTGACATGATGACACAGTGAAGAGGCTAAAACTCTGGAAACTGGCCAGGGAAACCTTGTTCTTAAGTAACATTCATATAACTACAGGTTTTCAAGATGCGACTAAGTGGACCTACAATCTTGCAACAATTCATTACAACAGAGGTCGGAATTCAGGGTCCTGGACAGACTGTATGACCAAATACACACAGCCTACTGGATGACAAAGTTAAACCTGAGTCCAGAAAACATGCTGATAAAACAGGTATAGGTCATGGAATCTTTTTTTGTTACATCTTAATTATCAAGCTAGTTCTTCTCCTCCCATCCTGTTTTATTGAAAAATAATTGACACACATTATTAGTGTGTTTAAGGCACACAGCATGACGGTCTGACACACACTGTGAAACGATGTCCCTGAGAGGTTCTGCTAACATCCATGATAAGTCGTTTTTGCACAATATAGTCTTACCTCTCATTCCTGCACAGACAGTACAGTCTGGTGTTTTTTTTTTGTTTGTTTGTTTTAACATTTTTTAAAAGATTTATTTATTTATGCATACAGAACTGGGGTACAAGCCAGAGGTACAAGGGTAGTGAGAGGATTCACCAGAGACAGAGGGAAGCAGAACAGGCAGACGGATAAAGTACACTGCTGAGGGGAGCAGCGCGGAGGGGAGCAGCGGGCAAGACAGGAAAGGTCTGTCACACCATGTGGGTCACCTCCTTGAAAGGGGTTCAAACTCATGCTAAAGCGGCTGGGGCGACCTGCACAGTGCTGCGCTTCAACCCACTGCGCCATCAGGGAGGGCCCAGTACACTCTTCTTTAACTTACTTATATGTCACATGGTAGAACTAACTGGTCAGAATTCAGATTCTGTGTCCATGTGTAATTTATAATGATGACTACTTTGGCCAATTTCAAAATTAACTCTTAAAAAGTATACTTTTAAACAATTGTTTTCTACTTTTAAAATGCAGAAATAAAAACAAGAAACAACAGAACAATTAACAATGAGGAACAGAAACCACAACCATGCTTGAAGATAATTCAAAGCTTTCAATTACCACCATATCAGAAAATGAAAGAACACAAGGTATTAAGAAAAAAAAATTAAGTACAAATTCATTTTGTTCAGTCCTACACCACATTCAGGTAGCCGTAAATGCGTGGCTGCTATAACTTCGCAAAGCTGAACATGTTATTCTTATTTACCTGTGTAATTTGACTATTCGCTCAGGGCTCTGAGACGCCTTCTCTTCTATGAAATCTATTTTGTATCTAAAAAACAAAACAGATAAATCAGTGCTTAAATATACAAAAAAGTGTTTCAGGGCTTCTCCTTCTCACTTCTTCCATAACCAGTTTTTAAAAGATGTGGTTTGCCTGTTTGGAGGTTCCTCAAGCTGCTAAACATGAAGCTTCCCAACGACCCAGCAATCCCACTCCTAGGTATCTACCCAAAAGACACAAAAACACTGATTGAAAAAGATACTTGTACTCCCATGTTTATTGCTGCTTTATTTACAATTGGAAAAACATGGAAGCAGCCCAAATGCCCAAAAGTAGATGACTGAATTAAAAAGATGTGGTACATATATACAATGGAATATTACTCAGCAACCAAAAAAGAGAAACACATGTCTTTTGCAGCAACTTGGCTGGAGCTGGAAAAGATCATGCTTAGTGAGATAAGCCAGAAAGAGAGAAAAATACTGGATGGTTTCACTCGTAGAGGAGTATAATGGACCAGGAGAGAAAATAACAAAAATAATGAACAACCATATACCAGAGATATTTTGCGGGGGGTGGAGTGGGGAATGGGACCAAAAACAGGTGGGGGGGAGGGAAATGCACGGGATTATGGTGATGGCACATGGGTGACTCGGTAATGGGAAACCCACGGGGATTACAATTGAGATGGAAAAAAAAATGTACAAAATGATGTAAAAATAAACTGTTACAAAATTTTAAAAAATTAAAAAAAAAAACAAAAAAGATGTGGTTTGCCCTTGGAGGCATCTCCGCCTTCACCTCCTCAGTGGGACCAGAGCCTCACAAACCCAGATTGTCCCTGCCCAAGGCATATGAGCTTGCTTGATGCCACACCAGTGAACGCAATTTAGGCTAGCCTTGCTGAAGTAAAGGAAGGTTTATGAGAGGGCACAGAGGGAAAGCTCCAGAAAGCTGAAGTAACAAGCAGTAAGAACGCAGCGGTGAGGCGTGCAGTGAGCAGTGGAGAGAAGGCCTAAAACAGCTAATTCCCACGCGTAAGGCCAAGCCCTGCCTGCGCTAACTCCCTCCAAACACTGGCATTTGCTTCCTGTCTTTCCATTAAATATTAAATGGAGGGGAGGAGTCGCCCAATGTACAAACTTATTAACCGATGCTTTCACTTCACAAAGGAAGGAAGAAAGGAAACCACTCGATATAAAGAGAAGAACTGACAGGACAAACAGAGGGGTAAAACACAGTAAGAAAATTATCATTTACTAATGAAGAGTGGTGGGGCTTTTACTCAGTGAAATAAACAATGAGATGAACAGAAGTATGCTGATTCAGAAAAAAAAATGGTGTCATATATATCAAATATAAATATTCTTAAAAGCTGAATTTTCTTCAATAAATACAACTTTGGAAGGTTAAACCCTACTTTAAATGAGTCAACACTTACTTGTTATGTTGAAATATTTCTAATGCCACTTTTGCATCAACATCCAGGCTTTCAAATGGAAGATCTTTATAAATTAAAGCATGCGCATCTTTTGTGAAGGAACGTAGGTTCTCCTAAAAATGAATATAGTAACCTTTTATGACAATTTATTTAAAGACATTTTTCCATAAGTCAGATAAAATAAAACCGTATGCTTAACATTATAAATCCAACTAAAATTAAAAGCAAGGTCCAATTTATTAGGAAAAAAAGTTATTAATTCACAATTGCATTCCTATAATTAAAATATCAGTCTATATTAATAATAATTATTAAAGATAATCCTACAAAAAATTTCAATAAACATTACATTCAAATGTTAGAACTTATAAATGTTTTCAAAATGATGATGCAACAAGTAAAAACAATGCTAGTAAAATACAAAAATTAATTTGGGCCCTTCCTGGTGGTGCAGCGGGTTTAAGCACAGCACTGAGAAGCTAAAGCCACTTCAGCATGAGTTCGATCCCTGCCCCAGAGGAGATCCACATGGTGCAGCAGGGCAGACCTCTCCTGACCCACCCGCTGCTCCCCTCAGCAGTGTACTTCATCAGTCTACCTGTTCTGCTCTGCACTCTGTCTCTGGTGAACCACCCCTGCGCCTCTGGCCTATACCCGTTCTGTATGCATAAATAAATAAATCTTTTAAAATTTATACAAAATTATTTTTACACTGAGTAAACTAAATTTGTAAAAGCATGGGGAAATAAAGTATTGTTTATATGATCCATAAAGTTGTACTAGGATATTGGCCCTGTCCAAAATATAACATATCCAACAATGAAAACCTATTTAATGAAAATGTCAATTTTACACAATTACAATGATTAACTGATAATATGCACTAATAATCCTTATGAGATTTTAAGTAAAAGTTATCAAAGTGCTTTTGAAATTGTTAAATTATTTATTAAAAATTTTAAATAAAAATTGTTTAATGAAAATAAATTTTGAACATTTAATAAAAATGTATTTTAAAAAAAACTGAGTTTTCATACTAAAAGTCACTACTTATGGGAAGGACTTAACTACTTAGAAACAGAAAGAACTTATACTACTTAAAGAAAAATATCAAATAGTGTTTTGTTTTTTTAAATTTTTTTTATTTTCACATGAAAGAACTGGGTACAGGCCAGAGGTACAAGGAATGAAAGGATTCACCAGAGACAGAGCGGGGAGCAGAACAGGGGGATCCACTGAAATACACTGCTGAGGGGAGCAGCGGGTGAGGCAGGAGAGGTCAGGTGCGCCTTGGGGGTCACCTCCCTGGCCCAGGGAGTGGGTTGCAGTGTTGATAGCGCTGAGACTTAACCACCAGGCCACCAAATAGTCTTATGTAAATCATTTTGTAATAAAATTCTTTCTGTAAATTTCCTGCCCGGCTTTTCTGCATGAAATGACTTCTCTGCTCTCAGAGGAGTACTTTATTCTATAACCAACCCGCATTCATAGCTTAATAAGCTGTGTCCCCTAACTTCTCGAAGCTGTGTGCCCAATCCTATAAAGCCTGCAATTAGTTAAGTTCATTTCTTTCTAAAAGTTTTATTTTTCAAGAAAGAAAAAGGCAAGTTTCACAGATAATGAAAATTGAATTTTGATCTCATTAGTTTTTACTCAGTCCTCCATAAAAGTCAGAATCTCTTTTTACACTTGGAGACATACATGAAAAGAAATCACACTGACACAGCCCAGAGATGATGCAGGACCAGTCTCTTCTCGGCCTCCTCCCCATCTTTCTCTTTCCTCTCTTCCTTCTCGCCCTTTCTCTCTTTCTTCCCTTCCTGTTTTGCAACTTTCCTCTCTGGATATTAAGATACATGGTTAGAGTTGTAAACCTCGGTCTGCCCTGACTTCAAAATGCATGCTTTAAGATGCATCACTAAGGAAAAACTACTACCAAGTATAATAATAAAATGCCCTCGACTGTAACACACATTTGCTTTCAGCGATAATAAACTGACAAAATGGCACATTACCGGCCTCCTCCTTTCTATGGCCACACTTTCAGCCTGTGGCACATACGCTTTTGTTTAAGTATCAGGCAGCCCCCTCTTCTCTGCCATCATAACTAAAGGCCCTAGCATGACCTTTTAAAGAACTCAGCATCCAGCCACAGAGCACCTGATTTAGACCATCTTGTTGGCCAATCCTGCTCTACCCACGCCTGGCCAACAAGGAGCGCTCTCGTTCTGAAGGCAAACCACTCACCAAAGCCCACTCAATTTACTGCTATTTAGCTTGTCACTGTTTGGATTGTCTTTGTCGAAGTCTGAGTCTCTAACTCACAGAAGCTATCATGGGACTCCTGTGTGCTGGGAGACCACAGTGTGCAACAGGCAAAAATGATTCAGGGCTGTGGTTTTCTGGCGGTACTCTAGGAGGCAAGGATGTAAGACTCCCACCACCATGTCAATGAAGGTCCTTAAGCGGCTGTATTTTATATTCTGAGCATCTTGCACACTACTCTCCTGAGGAAGAAAGCCCTTCAAGACAAGGTCAAGAACATAGAGCTTCTGCACAACTGCCCACGCTGTTGCGAACACTCACCTTCAAATGTCCGTCCTAAAATATACTGGAAAAGCAACAACAAATTTAAATAAGTTTGTTTTTTTTTAAAGATTTATTTATTTGTGCATACAGAACTGGGGTACAGTCCAGAGGCTCAGGGGCGGCGAGAGGCTTCACCAGAGACAGAGTGGGGAGCAGAACAGGCAGATCAAAAAAGTACACTGCTGAGGGGAGCAGCGGGCGGGTCAGGAAAAGGTCTGCGTGCCATGTGGTCACCTCGGGGGCAGGTGGGAATCGAACTCATGCAGAAGTGGCTTTTAGCTTCTTAGTGTGGTGCTTTAACCCACTGCGCCACCAGGGAGGGCCTGCATAAGTTCTCTCTAAATATCTTCCACACGCAGTCTCAGTCAACAATACTAACAGAGGAATCATTCTAGCAAAGAAAAGCACACAGTCTAAATTTAATTTTCCCAAGAGTACACTTACTTTCGTGGGCACCCACTCATCAAGTTTCTTATCCAACACTATGTCATAGCAGAAGGCTCCGGCAATCACTGTAAATGCAACCAGGAGAAAAAGCTGAGGCAAGTCTGCTAGGGAGAAAGGTCCTGATTGAAACCACTGAACATGCAGACCAGGGAGGAAGGGTCAGCTATCTCTCCGACTGAACAAATCAGGAAGCTACTGCCACTACCCAGTCTGCCGTAGCCCTGTTAACGACACCCCCACACCCCCACCCCCCATAACTTAACCACTAAAAATTCCAAATACTACTCGCTATAAAACTTCCAAAAGAACAAGATTGTTCATAAGTAGGTGAAAGATAAATGGACATGAAATGTTGAAATTACTTTAAAATAGCTTCTCCACATCCTCATGTCTGTTCTGTTCTTAGCATCACTGAGTTTTTCAAATATTATACTTCTACCTTTCATGAAAAATACAAATGTACTTTTGAAAAATCCTAGTTTTAAGAAATTGCAGTGAGAGTGAACTTTCCCATCTCCCTGAGAGGTGTCCCTCAGAGCCACGGCCACTCAGGGTGGAAAGAACCACAGGACACAGCTTTCTCCACAGTCCCTTTATACCCCACGCCCCACCACTCAATGTGGAAATAATGCTTAAAGTTGTAAGAAATTTCCTGGTATTCCCATGAAATTCACATCCAAGAAAACATATTCCTCAAACTTGGTTAATTATTGACTCCCCTACTCAGCAGTGGATTTTGGTATCCATAAGACATGCAATGCATGTAATGATGGTAATTTTTATTGCATAAAGTCGAAGTGAACTAACTACATACAACACCAACAGTGGGTCCCACTGTATGCATCTGTGTGCACTTTACCGGGAACTTCTGGAACTCTGACCAGACGGACCGCATACTCGTCCTTGAAGGCCCTCTCCACGACGCAGCCCATTATCATGGCACAAGAACGCCAGTAAGCCTGAGGAAACAAGACACATGAGGACATAACGCGCACTGGCGTGACAATACCCACTCGGCGGCAACTCCTAGAATTCTGTCTCAGGGAAAACTGCCCCGTCTGTCTGGCCGCATGCATCTGACCATGACCTACTTGCACCAAGTAAAACCACACCAGGAGGAAACACCAGCTTCTTGTTGCCAGCAGAGCTTCTGTTCAAGCTATCAAGACATCGAGATGTTTACCAAACATTAGATGGTTTTACTATCTGGTAATAATTTTACTTTGAACCGAGGATAAAGTTCATTTGCTCACAAATGTGCACTAAAATAATGTTAACCTACTGTGTACACTCATACATGATATATAACGTAATCTATGTGAACACAATGCTAATATTCATGTCAATGTGTCACATAACATGTATGTCAGTGCTATGTTGATACATATATGCTTATATACATTTAAAAGGAAAAGCCAACTTTTGAGAGTCAATTCTAATCCTAGGTCATACCTAAAATTACCTAACTTACCACTCTGCTTATTCACAGCACCTCCCTCTCCAGCAGGCTTTCTTTTTACCAGTGCCTGGCAGGGGAAGGCACGCAACGACCTCATCAGAGTCATAAAGAGCCCAGCATTTGCATCGGCACTACTGCACAGACACCTGGCTCTTACAAGGTCCTCTCCTTGCCTCTGAGGATGGCAAGGGCGAGCGTGCCTTTGATTGTGTGTGGCAGAATGTCTTCTACACAATGACACAACACACACTAATGTCAGCACAAACCCAGGTCTTGAAGGCAAACAGAAAGCATGCTCCTTCACCTAGCCTCCTTACATGCATTTAGTGTCTACTGAAGTCCAGTCAGGATGCCTAAGTTCAGATCCAGGCTCTACCACTTCCCAAACCATGAGTTCAAGATGTTGAACCTCTTTTTGCCTCAATTTACTTATCTGGAAAATGGGGATACTAGCATCTATTTGGTACGCTATTAGAGGATTAAATGGCTTCATACTTGTAAATCCCCTAAGGCACTACTTAATACAATGTTAGCTATTACTATTAGCAAGTCTATCCTATTCCAAGTATTTCAATTCCACAAAATATCTACCTACTATATGTAAATCAAGGGCTAACTTCAATAAGGAACATGGCCTGCCTTTACAGATTCAAGAATCCAATGCATTCAGCATCCGAAAGCAAAATGACAATATTGTATCTGGACACACTGCCACACTTTGGGAGGGCCTAGAGAAAAGAGGGGTGCTGATGAGAGGAAACTGAGGTTCTGAAGAGCAGAGGATATGTCAATTGAACCATAAAAAAGCATTTTAATAAGGAGGGGGAAGAAAATGCTGGTAGTTGAAGGAAAGGGCAGTCAACAAAGCAAGAAAGAGACAGCACGAGCCAACAGCGGGCAAGTCCCGCAGCCTTCCTGCAGCGTCCCACAGCTGTCCACAGCCAAGAGCAAAGTGCTGGAGAAGCAAAACCTGACAGATCCTCACGGTCAGATAATGCAGGGCCTGAAAGGCCACAGGAGGCATGTCCTTTGGGGGTAAAGGTCATGTTACTTAAAACTCATATGTGGCTATTAGGAACAGCTCTGTTAAAACGGGGCTGGGGGCAGAGCAAATTAAGTTATTGAAATAATGCAGAGATGATGATCAAGGTTGGATTTGAGCAATAGCAGCAGGAATGAAATTAACTGCAGTGCAAAGTGGTGGGGAAATGCAAGTTGAACAAAGAGATGAATATGAACGATGTCATAAGGTTGTCTCAAACCAAAACACGGTTTGAGAAACGGAAGCCACTGGTATTTTTGGCACTCTGACGATACCTAAACCAACAAGCAAAACACAGACCAGCACACCACTCATCTGGTCATGGCCATGTTTGTGCATTCATACACCAGCGAAAACAGACTGAATAAAAAGAAGAACAAAATGAATGTAGAGAGAGAAATACCTTATTCACTTCCCCTGGATCACGGTCTTTGAAAGTAAGAAACTGAATTTCACAGGTCTTGGTCAGAGGCTTGTACATATCCCACGGCTGCCCGTCCACCAGGGCCAGGATGGACTTCTTACAGTACCACTCACTTAAATCTAGGGATTTATAACAGATGGGTGGTTAAAATTTAGCCAGACCCACAATGAAAAGTTACATGTGTAAGGGCTCCATTTAGAAATACAACAATAAAAAGGAAAGATCCTACAAGCTGCCTTTCTGGGGGAGAATGAAATATTGCACAGTATATGTGACCAATAAAAAAAAATCCCCAAAACACCCAATGTATTATTAACCATTTACAAAAATCATGAAGGCTGTCCAGCTGCAAATTAATTTGCCAATTATTAAATAATAAAACAACTTTCTAACAGCTACAATATCTAATATTCAGGCAACATCACCAATGTATCTGAATACACAACCTAGAAGAAAATGAAGAGCATCAAATCTGTTCTACATGATCTTGGGATCTGTCTACATGGGCTTGGGATCACATTCCCAAACCCTCTCACATCTCTGCTTCGGACTCCTCAAGTTAAATCCTACTGTTACCAGCTCTTAATGATTAGTGTGAATTCACACATAAATCCATCAGTTGTGGTCTGTTTTATGACCGTAGAATGTAACTCCAAGCCTGCTTAGGTTTTTTGAATGCTATACACAAAAGTAGCTAAACGCCAGCACCCACATTATTAGGCATAATAATCAGACATCCTTTCCATAAAGGCAGGGATCTAGTCTACTTCTGTTCATTAATCAGTATACCCAGTGCCTTTCAACAGACCTAAATACAGTAGGTGCTCAATAAACATTTAATGCATTACAAGCTAATGTCAGGGCAGGGTCATGTCACATGTAGTTCAGAAGTTTCACCTCAACATGTGATTCTATAAAGTCTCTGAAGGCTAAGCATTGTCTTAGCTCCTCTAATCCTATAATCTACCATTCAGCAGAGGATCAGAAATTACTAGCCAAACGCTAAGTAAACCATGACCATAAGTGCTGATTCAAGGGCCATCATAAATAAAATACTGAGTGTATATTCTACAGGTCAGTGTAATCTGTTCTCTGAATTTGTTAACTGTGCAAATGGAATCTTTTCTGAGTTTTCCAAAAGTCTGAGCAATGGAGCGAGTCATAAAAATATGTGAATGCACATGTGGCATATTTGTGTCTAAACACATTTTGGGCTTTCTCGGTTTAAATATATTAGCTCCATCAAGACCATTATAAAAGCATTTTTATCAAAAATAAAATTTAAAAAAATTTTAATAAAGACCCATTCCCTTGCTTTCCACACCAAATCACACATGGGGCACAGGTATCTCTGTTAAGAGGTGAACAAAACAAGTGTCTGCACTGCACCCACGTTCATCCCACTGCACATTTCCAATCACACATTTACATGTGGATGTAAACAAAAACGACACACACAAAGCTAGCGGGAAACATAAATCATTTAAGTTAGGTTACAAAGAGTTAAAAAGGAAAAGGCGGTCAAAACAGCTGGTCATCAGAGGCCAGGACAGTCCCTTTATCCCAAAATCCTTCCAGGAGACCGCCCATGACACCCCCAAGGTCAAGTACACTAATAAGGATGCTTTCAGTTTGGCTTTTATCTGCTAGAAACAACTGTAGTGTCCACAGTAGTCACATTCAAGTTAAGCCCCAGGACAACCTGTGCGTTTCAGTGCCAATATGCAACACCACACAGTGCCCCAAGAGCTAAAGCCAAGGTGAACGGGCTGTAAGATGTCAGATAAAGGACTTCTGGAAACTTCGGGAGTAATCACAGCAGCTTATCTCCAATGCACCAGTTCTGCACAATTTACGTCAGTGTTGCGATGAGTTACTTACGCATGGCACAGCTGTAAGGAGTTGAAATGTTTTTATTCATCACAAAGATTGTGCCAGGGTCCGTTTTCCCAACGAGTTTAACTTCAATCTTCTCAGTTCGGGGGGTTAATGATAACTGCCTGCTTTTCTCCTTATTAAAGAGATCGTTCTGCATTTCTATCACTTTCATAGGTGACAGTTGAGAAGCTGGTGATGTGGCTATAAATCCTGTGTGGAAATGACAATCAATATGAAGGTCGAAAAAATGAAAAGGCGAACACACTGCAGATAGCCCAGCCGGTCCCAATCCCCCAGCACCAGCCGCATATATATGAACGAGGTGTGTGTGTTGGGAGGGGGGGGAAGGGGAGGGGGGAAGAGATTGTGCTAATGCTCTCCGAAGTCAAACTAACGCTTTCTAATGTGCGTTAAAACGCCCAAGGACGAAAACGCAACGGGCCTGATCTGCGTCCTCATTTCACCTTTGCTTTCACCGTCAGATCTCTATTTCCCACCCATGTCCGCTGTCGCGTTCCCATCTCTGCTTTACAGAAAGGGGCCAGGAGTCACCAGGAAATGGTGTCAAAAGCAAACAGTCACAGGGAAGCTGAGCAAAGCTGTCTCTTTGGAAAGCGTCTGGGGAAGAACAAGAAAACTGGCGATCCCACGCCAAAATTTTGATCAATATCCAGGACGACAAATGTTGGGCACATTTTCCAAACCCCAAATCAGGGGGATTGGCAGAACAAGGACGAAAATTCCTCGAGGAAAAAACCAAACACGTTTGCACCGGGACGTGGACTCCTTCCACGAGGTGCCTCGAGCTCTCCCTGCAGCCCGCCCCCGGGTCTCCCCAATCCCTTGCACCCCCAGATCGGTACCCCCTGGGAGAGACGGGGCCAAGCCTGCAAGGACTGAAAGCCCGGCCTCCCCCTTCTTGGCACCAATCGAAGCAGTCTCGCTCGCCGGCCGCTGCCACTTACTCCAGCCTGCCCCGCCAGCAGGGGTGGCCCGCCAAAGCCGCAGCCCCCGCGCACCCATGGCCATCGCCTCCTTCACGGCCATAGGAACCGCGGCGCGCAGGTCCCTCTCGTCCGCCTCCCCGGAAATTCCGAACGTGCATACGCGGTTCCCGTGGACTATTAGTTCCGTTCCAGACCCGGCGCTCCACCTGCGAGCCTCCACGAGGGGGCGCCGTAGCACTTTGCTGGAGATGAGTCTCGCAGGCTCCCACACCCTCCTTTATCCAAGGGTTCGAGACCTGTCCCTGGGTGCTGCCCGGGCATCTCTATGGAGAGAAAAAATGGGGTGGGACGGGGGAAGATTTCTGTTTATTCTGGTCAGCCCTGTTGGCCACGCCGATGATCTCTTCTAGGTGGTGGCTTATCTACTGTGTAAGGGTGGACTCTTAGGTGGGCTTCCAACCGCGTTCTCCAATTACACTGACTGTCTTATTGGGCTCCTCCAAATGCGTCCTGTTGACATTGAAGGGATTTTGTGATCCGTAGAGCTTTATAAATTACCTAGACAGCCTAGGGAGAAAAAGTAGAAATTAGAAGGCTTCGCTCGTCCCCTTGTCAGCCCAAGCGCCCAGTGCAATGGGTTCGGATGGTAGGCGCTCATGGTAGATAATGTGGTGAATGGATGAATGAATGAATGAATGAATGAACGAACGAACGAACGAACGAACGAATGAACTAACGCCCTTGCAAAAGATCCCAGCTCAGTGTCCAATTGCTTTTTCATAGCAAGATGTTATTGCTATTGTCGTAAGCATCCCTAGGTAAAGTCTGGGAGACGTTTTATTCAAAATTGGTCAATGCTTTACTGAAGTTTTACTAAAGTTAGTAAGTTCACAGCTCCAGCCCCACACTGCCTTTTCCGCTTGCAACGGAAAGATAACACCACCAGGTGGAAGTACCCGCCAAGGAACAAACGCGACATCGCCTGTCTTCAAGACCCAAATTTTACACTCACATCTGCGCCCCAAAACGCTTTTCTTCGCATTTAAAAGAAGAAAGGCAGGTAGGTGGCTGAGCTTGGGTCTAAGTCTAGTCTGCATTCCCCCCGGTCACCGCGCCTTTAAGCTCCTTCCAAGCAGATGTGTGGTATGTTTGTGCTCCGCTTCCTCTTTAAATTTGCGTGGGCTTACTCCCTCGAAACCTTGTTTCATCGGTTTTTTTTTAGTCTGTCTCCTTCTCATCCTATCCACTTGTCATCAGAACATGTTAGAAAACATTTAAACAAAGTTTGACCAAGTTTAAAGCATAGCTCGCCTTGGGAGCAGGAATTACTAGTGACAAGTTTCTCAGAAGTGAACTTGGTTGGAGGAAATGTTGCCTATGATAAAGAGCAACAAACACCGACGCCGGTTGATCTGGGTTCATTAATTCTCACAACTTCCTTGCTCAATAGGCATCATTATTTTCATTTACAAAGAGAGGAAATTCAGGTTTGGAGAGTTCAGAGACATACCCCAGGTAGAACTTTGGCCAAGAACTCCGCACACATACTTCCCCACACAGATATTTCCTTACTCTTCTTGCCTCCTTCTTTATCAGCCTCTCCCTGAATCTTAATCTCTATCTCTTTCCCAAATAATAGGATCAGATCTGCAGCAGTAAGTATCTAAGTTGAGCAAGGAAAGACTCAAAATCAGACAGAAATGTTAAAAATCACAGGTCCAGCTTGAAGTGGCTTACTTCACACAAATTTATACAGGTAAAATAATCTTTTTAATGATGAAAGATTATACCACACATATAAGCTGTTTATTACACACACGTCAATATACTATACATATTATAAATACATAATAGTATTTATGAGTAGTATTTCACAACAGAACAAGTGTGTGTGTAAATTATGTTAAGAAAGCAAATGTTTTGTTCCTAAGCTCCATTAATAAGTACCAAATAATGTTTATTTAAAATAGTAATGGGGCCCTCCCTGGTGACACAATGGGTTAAAGCACAGTACTGTGAGGATCTCAGCAGTCACTGCAGCATGGGTTCAATCCCCGTCCAGGAAGCTGGCCCACTTGGTGCAGTAGACCTTTCCTGACCTGCCTTCTGCTCCCCTCAGCAGTGTATTTCAGTTTATCTGCCTGTTCTGCTACCAACTCTCTCTCTGGTGAATCCTCTCAACCCCTGTACCTCTGGGCTGCACCCCACTTCTCGTATGCATAAATATAAACAAATCTTTTCTTTAAAAATTAACCCAGTCAGTATTGAAAGTTGTAAGCTTAATCACAGATCAAAGGGATGGGAAATATCCTTTAATCTGCACTCTCCTGCCCCACATTTTACTAGATAGAGAAGATGAATCACAGAATGGCTAGTATTGGGCTCAAGGCCAAACAAATGTGAGCAAGGCATCTGGGGTCACTGGAAATACCAGAACATGGGGAAATGTCAAGACTCCTGAAGTTGGCACACATTCCTTAAAATGCTGCTAAGCACTCTAAAACACTGCTAAAACATTCTAGTTGTTTCGCCCTGCAGCTCCCAGGCCAAATTCATCATTGCACTGCATGGTGAAAACAATAGGAATTCACCTCCCCTTTGGTTAGAATCAAAGTTGTACTAATTCCTCCAGCACGTGTCAATCTAGACTGTCATCCATGAAAAGGGACCCACAGATCCCCCACCAACAGTCCTCTTGTGATCCCATTTTATTTCAGAGCAACAGATCCTATCACCCTCCACACAAGCTCACTTGGAGTTTACTAGGGTGGAAGTTCATGGTTCCTGGGTGATGGGTGCTGGGGTGAGAACTAAGATGATGCTACTGAGGTGAAACTTTAACAACGCAATGTCACAGAATGGGAGACAGTACCTGGATGGATTCTGAGAGGACAAGCGTTCATTCCCTTGAGCGAAGAGGAGACAGGGAAACTCATGTTTCCAGAGGAACTGGTTTATAGAGGGGCCGTGAGGTTAAGTTATGGGGCATTGTTCAGGGTGGGAGGAGAGACTCAGGAATGTCTTTGATCCCAATGCTGGAGTCTTCTAGATCTTATCTTCACCAGCTGGAGCAGTGACCTCTCAAAATCATACCTTTGGGAGACATGAAAGTCTGTCCTATGATTATTTCATCCACGCTTTATCTATAGGCAAGAAGTGAGTGCACAAGGTAACCTCAACCTCATGACTGGGACAACAGGGAAACTTCCTTCACTCTTATAAACCCCGTGCTCACAAAACAGAATACTTGTGTCCAGAGTCCCTCACCCTTCATTATACACACCCTTTGGCCTGATTTTTATTATTGGTTTGACCTCCTGACCTCCCCTATCACTTCCTAGCTGCCTCTCCACCCCCACCCATGTTTGACACTTGCCTAACCTCTCACCTCTCCCCAACATCCACTCTTGGCCTACGCGGGGGAGAGAACCCACAAACTCAGAAATGATCACCCCAAAACCACCTAAACCCACTGAGGAAGGAAATTCAGCTGAATAAGGGAGCTAAGTCTCTATTAGATTCCAACTCTTTGCTTCTTAACTCTAGAACGTTGGCCATGATGGACCATGATTGACTCAACCAGACTCTCCTTGTGGACACTTTGGATTCTTGGATTCTTGAAATATTTTGCTGCAAAACCTGTGGTATCTGTGTAAGTATTTCTCTAGAAGAGGTTCCTGGTAGTGGGATTGCTTGATCAAGAGTCCCTGCCATTGAAATATTGATAAAGGCCCCCCAAATGGGCAACGAAGTCACACACATACACAACAAAACAGCACATAACCACATTCCGCTCCACAACAGAGTTACGCATGTTCAGTAGCGTTAAAAGCTCTGCTTTCCAAGCATCTTTAAATTTGTGACTGAGATCCAGGATTACAACCTCTAATTTTCCACCTTTCATCTTTCTTTCCAAGAAACGCCTTTCCTATTGCAAATTCAAGAATGTTTTCAACCTGCTCTGGCATTTGCCTGTGGATGACATTGCAGAAAATGGCGACTCAGTCTATAATTTCAACTTCGAATCAGTCTTTTATTCAGAGGGCTGGATGTTGATGCTAATGCTGGTTATAAGGGTGTGTTGTCTACAACTGTAGATCTTCAATTACAATGAGTGGATCTAGTTAGGCTTCTTCCTGTTTTCCCCTAAACGTCTTCTCTTGACTGAGATTATATTTTTGTCACTTTACATGACACAAACAAGATATCATCCCTAAATGTTCCAGATGCAGGCTATTCAGATGAGATCCCAAGTATTCAGGGAGGTATAACCTTAGGCCCAGATTAAAGCTATTCAAGTAAATGTTAGAAATTGCAGAGGCCATGAAGTAGAGAGGCAAGAAATGCTCCCTGAGCACTTCCCCTGCGACAACGAAGGGGTGTTTTGATAATTGTTGACCTAGGGACACTGCCTGTGACATGGGGAAGGAAACCTTGGCATTCACAGAAACAAATGGTCATGCCACCGTTTTTTAACTTCTGCCATCTCATCAATACCAATGGCAACTTCTCAGCCTGCAGAATTCCTACATGTGAGAGATTTGAGAATGTTTCACAACTGCCATGAATTGTCTCCTTGCAAATTAGCAATTTTATGAGCCCATCAAGCAATTGTCACTAGGATTAAAAGTTCACTGGAGTGGATATAATTAATTTGTGCAAGAAAATTATAATTCAGTCTTATTGGTGGCTTCTGTCCCACCATTAAATCTTCAGGTAAGAAATAGTCTGCATTCTTGGGGGCCTCCCTGGTGGCACAATAGGTCAAAGCACAATACTATGAAGCCACAACCGATTGTGAGTTCGATCCCCACCCAGGAAGATGGCCCACATGGTGTCTTGATCCATCATGCTGTTCTGCTCCCCACACTGTTTCTGGTGAGTCCTCTCACTG